GTATTTTTGCTCTCTTGTAGGGAGAGATCATACTGATCTTACTCCATCACTGCAGAAGTACAGCCAAAGGTTGTTTGACCCCAGGGACGTGTCCTTGTACAGTTGGATGCTGTGCAAAAGCTGCTAAATGGCAGAGACTCCAATATTATGTATGAATTGGCTCGCTCTCTCTCTTGGCAGGGATAGAGAGAGGCGAGTAGTGCACATTTCTCTCTTCTTTCAGCCAGTAACAGCTCATCCCTTTCATTGTCAGATGAACCCGGAGGCGAGTACAGGAGAGATAAACACAACAGACCGTGCCTCACTGACCTCCCAGTGAACCACAGACAGGCGAGTGAGTCCTGTGCTCGTGGCAGAGCTGTTTTCCCCGGCACCTTCACGGAGCTCGGTGTGAGTGAGGCGCGGTGTGAGCCTGCTGCGCTCGCTCCCTGCGCGGCACCGCCGGGGCCGAGCCGCACTCTGGCAGCTCCTGATGCCATTCCTCGTCTCTGGCAGGATATGAAAAATATGTCAAGCCTGGCACACGACAGCAAACATAATCCTTTGGGCTGGCTTTGGTGCTTTCACCAGCCCGTCTTAGCTTGGGCAGTTTGTAAACGATGCTTTTAAGATCAAAACCCCCCTGGAGCGGCTCCTCAGTAAATGCAAAGATGACTTCAGCTTGCTCTGCGCTGAATTACAAAACTCTTTGGTTTTTTTTTTTTTCTTTTGGTCCCACGCCGAAGTATCAGCGCAGTGCTTTGAACTGAGGTTACCTTTATGATTCACGGCATGAATGAGCACTTAGTGTGCGCATACAAGAGCCCTGTACGAATCAGGAAATGGCTCTTTCAGGTCTCCTGACAAAAGGAAGTGAGTCTGAAGCTTGCTAAATTTACAAAGAGGACGTTGGTGAACTTAATCTGGGGCAGGGGATGGGGGGAGGGGAAGAATCTCTTTTCACTGATGATTGATACACAAACCCCCTATGTTTCTCTACACCGTTTTTAACAACAACAAAAACAAATTAAAGGGGCTAAAACTGCGGTGGTGAGGGCCGTCTCCAGCTGCCTGCCTGTCATCTCTAGCTGGTACGTGCATACATCCACGGAGACACTTCTGGCTGGGTGCTTCATCATCCCCCCTTCGCCGGGGCAGTGAGAGCTTTCCTCCATGGCTGGGTAAAGAAGTGAGCTGGCACAGAGGGAGCATCGCGGCGCACCCCGCTCGGGGCATCCTGCCCTCCTCTCCTCAGCCTCCCAGCCAGGCGCTGCATGGGGCTCACTTTCAGTTCAAAGAAACCGATTAAACTTCCTCAAAGGCACAGGTGCTGCGCCCTGGAGTTGAACGAAGGTACTCCAGGAAAAGACATGGAAGATTCCCATGCAGTGGGACACGGAACAGTGGATTTTGAAAGATTTTTGTACAGGACGTGCTGGGTCCTGTGGCTTCACACTGTAATGGCCAAAGCAGAAAGAACTTAAGTTCTCCTTGTGAGGTTATTCTTTCATCCGGGCATGCAAGGGCTGAACTGACTACTCCGTTAAAATGCATATTGCACAAGCCCCTGCAAAAAGATGAGGTGCTCTCCCGCAGCCCCCCAGTACTTGTATACACAGCCCCAGCAGGTAAAGGACTGCACCAAAAGCCTTCCTGCCACAGCATCTGTCCCCTCAGCCAAAAAGTGTGGAGCAAATGACCCGTCCTGTTACTTCACAGGCTGTCTTCTGACAGGTTAACTTTGCTGACAAGAGCTGGACACTCAGACTAAAGTGCATCCTTTAGCATTAGTCTCTATCAAATTCTTGAGTCTTGTGAATGTTTATAATCACACTATAAACAAAAAGAGAAGTTCCCTGACCAAGCTGTCCCATAGTCCCCACTACTCCTTTCACAGTGGGCACAAAGGCTCTGGGATCACAGCTCAGGCTGCACCATACCAATTTCCCAGGCACACGGTAAGCAAGTCAGCTGGGATCTTTCTTTCTCCAGAGGAACCATAAGAAAGCTGCCAGCTCCAGTCAACTTAAGAACCGTATCCAGTCAAAAATACCAGAATCAGCTAACAGTACAGACTTAAGAGGACAGGGGGTTGTTGCACAATTAGAAACATACTTTTTTCTGCTAGAACAACTTCTGCTTTGTAGTTTAGATATTGTTATCAAATGTTTTCCTTATAAACAAGAAGCTTTTGTACCTGTCAAAACCCCTCTGGAAGGGGGTTAACCTTACGCAGCTGGCAGACCACCCAGGTGCAACACCAACACTGCTGTGAGTGGCTGCATCCAGAAAAGTCCAGTGGGAAGCCATGCAGGCCTTCCCAGCATGCCTGAAAAGCCAAAATGCTCCTTGTCAATAGCAGTTTATTGTGATGAAACTGGCTTTAGAAGTAGCTCAGAATTCATGGGAAGGTACAGAAATAATCATAACAAAACCAAACCAAACAAACAAAAAAAAAAGGGGGAAAATAAACAAATGCAGCGGTTTGTATTTGTCCGGAAGCAAATGTGCTCACACTGAGGTTTTTCTGCCAATCAACAGCAGTTACAAGTCACTGCAACACCCAGGGCACTGTTTCCTTAAGGGGTAAAATGCAATTCCCTCCACTTCAATCTTGGTCTTTACCACTCTCCTTGAAGGTGACAGATGCAATGACAAATGCTCCAACACATTTGAATTATGACTGCTGTGAAGTCTGTGTCTGGGGCCTCCTGCAGTCAGAGCACTGAGTCTAAACCAGAGTTTTGCAATGAACATTTGTTGCAAAATCCTGTGTGTTTATTGAAGTCTGCAAGATTGTGCACATTTACCTGGGCTAACTGGATTATTCCAGGCTCCTTCTGGCAAACAGAGAGGCTTCACTGTCACTTTTGACATGACACATGCTGCCTGCAAGAATCCTCATCTCAACATGGGGCCATCCTGCTGATCTCCAGCTCTACAACTTTCACATGCTGCAGGTTAAAGACGGTGTTTGTAAGAGAGAGCATTGCAACCTGGCCCCAACCTCTGCTGCAGCCAGTGTAGCCGAGGAAGCTGAGAGGAGAACACTGTTTCAGCTGCACACAGTCCAGTTACCAAGCCAAAAAGCTTCAAGTGGAAGGATGACCAAACGCAACACTTGGGTGGGGAATATACCATTTTTAGCCTACATTGTAATACCCACAAGCAAAGCCTGGCAAAAGGTAACACATGCATGCACAATGTAGTTCCATGTGTGTGCATTCACACACATATACAGGTACGTATAGACACCAACAGTGGCCAACTCCTCTCCTGTTCCTCATTAGGAAGGTCTGTGCCAAGAAGAGTTGAATGTTTACAAACTCTTAGGCTCTTGCCAGCATGACAATTTGTTTTTATTTCCTGTAGTTATAAAAACCAGAAGACATAAGGAAAGGATTCCAGCTAAGGCTGTCTTGCTCACATTTTGGAACCATCTCTTTGTCATGTGTCTATGCAGGTGCTTGAAGGCAGTCATTTCCTGCTAGATAAAAGCATTCCGGTTTGATGTCAATCACTTGGGACATTTTTAAGCAGCAGTGTAAATATGCTGAATGAAGATCTGATCAACTGAAAAGCATTTAAGTGATATTTATTTAACCCAGGCTTTTAAAAAATGCACATGTGTATATGTAAACGAATAACTGAATTAACAAGTAGTCATGTCCTTGAATGCCAATGTGGCATATGCCAAATACTGAAATAATACGAAACTGGAAAAAAACCCAGGCATCTAAAGCTGTATTCCTAAGTCTATTGCAATTATTCTCTACGTGATATGAGAATGGGTAAGTGAAGAACTATCTTTAAGGGCAGAAACAAATCTATGCTTGTACCACAGGAGTGGTGTAACAGAGCAGCTACAGCTCTATTTCCCAAGTTTCCTTTCCACTACTGACAAAAACACTACTTTGATCCTCCCAATCCTGCTTAAACTATGTTGGCAAGTTTAAAGTAAAAACAAAACCACACACACACCTCCCAAACTCCATGCAAGAACTCTGCTCCCTGTATCAATATACATCTTTACCAGCCTAAAACAATCATAAAAACATGCACCAAACATGTTGGGAGATATTGTTTTTCTGCCTGAGGCAACCACATGCCTTATTGCCTGTGCTAAAAATGAGTTGGCCTGTTTTATAATGCCCACACAGGCTGGCATTCACACTGCCAAGGTCTGGTTGTTTTTGTCTAAAAGTCTGTGGAATATGCTCAGCTGGAATACCTAACCATGCAGTAACAGGAATACCTAACCATGGAGTAACACAGATGTTTAAAAGCGTTTAGAATCTGATTTACTTTGCATTTTCTTCCCTGGTCTTTTTAGAAAGTTAATGTATCATACAAACACGTATTTAATCTCATCCTTCCCCCATTCCTCATATTCACTGATTAATTAAGGCACATTTAAGGCTCACGAACACAACTTTAAATGCTCTGAGCAACTTGGATTACAGTAATTTAATTACTTGTAATGCATCAAGCCCTAAAAGAGAGACTCATGGAAATGATAACAAATGATGAAAGGGTTTTATTGTGCAAAGATTTCAAAATGCTGGAAATCCTTTTGTATTTCCCTCCACATCACTTTTTCCTCCCCTCCCCTGGCTGGGAGTAAGGAAACAGCCAAATTATTCTATAGCTGGTTCCCACCAGGGTAATGTTCTGGTTCCCATTGTACTGTGCATTCAAGCAAAAACAAGAACAAGCATTAACAGCTCCATTCCCATCCATCCACCAGACAGGAACTCACAGATGCTTCATTACACACCTCCCACTGGCACTGATGAGGCAGAGGACTTTATAGAAAGGAGGTGGGGGGACTCAGACAAAACACAAGAGTCATTGTAATTGTTCCCATTCCCAATTCTGTGAGCTCATGTTAGCCAAAACATCCTACTACTTTCAGCTTTCCTTACTCGTAAAAAATACAGGCACTGTAAACACCACCTCGAGAACCTCTCAGATTGTGCAAACATCACATCCCTGAGCTGAAAGAAAACAGGAGGAGGGGAAAAAATGGACCATTTTCTGTAATTGGAATTTTATTTTATATATAAATAATAAAGAGACCGAGGGATTTTGAGACTTGCTACTTGCAATGTTGATCCTGCAATGGGACAGGCATGGGCAGACTTGAGTCCCACTGCAGAACACAGGATGAAGTCTCAAGACTGACCCAAAACACGTAGTGTCCTTTCACAGAAGCCATACCAGAAGCCTGAGCAGCAGATCATCAGACTGTCCTGAGGCAGAAGGCAGATTAGTCACATTCAAAATGGATTCAGATGGTTTTAATCTTTTTCTTGGGAAATTGTTGCTCATATCTATATTTTCATTCACCTATAATCAAAGAAAGAGGACAGAAGTTAAGGGGGAGAGAGAAGGAAGGAGAAAGCAGAATTAAATTTATCACAGGCCTTTTCTTTCCATTTTTAAAGTGCAATCAAAACTTTTTTGATGCGTCAAGTTGATCAAAATCTGGTTAAGGAACATTCTCAACACTATTTTGCTTGCAATAGAGATATTTAAATCTTCATATTACTGACATTAGAGCACTAATGCTCATGTCTGGTCTAGAGGACTCGATTCCCATAGTTGAACTAAATGGAAAGACAAAAGAGAACATTCCCAACAACTAAACATCAACTGCAACCTTGTATAACAAACCAATTTTCTCAAAAATAATTATTTTAAATTCCCATCAAATGCATGTTTTCTTAATCTTACTTACTCTGGCATAAGACTAGGGCAATTTAACTCAAAGAAATGGAATTACATAAATATAGATCTGGAACAGAGTGAAAATGAGATATGCTATCTTCACGGAAAAACACAAAACCCTGTCACTTCCGTGCAACTCCTAAACACAACAGCTGCATAAAATTAAAGCTTGCTTCTTCCACAGTGGGATGTGGTTTGAGCTGAAGTTTGCATATAATTTTTGATGACAAAAAAAACTATAATAAAGAAGGTACAATGCTGCTGGTTTTGGAATAGAGAAATATGTTGTTGTCTTCAACCCAGTATGTTTTTGTCCTTGGTTGACCATTCACAGTTCAGAGACCCATGTTGTGGCACATCACTGAGGAAATGAGACTGTCTTTATTTTTTCAACTAGGAATATTAGCAACAGTTGAAAATGCAGTGAGACTTTCAGGACTAATCGCATCCAGAATAAAAAAAAATAATGTTGCTTTTCAAAGATCACAGCAACGTTCTCCAACCTTTGGGATCACCCAAATCCAACAGAACATCTGGACTTGGGTATGGAGTTAAATTACTGGATTTGATTTCAAACACAAGTAACAAACTGCCACCCCCGCAGAACAGCTGAACTTGATACTGAATTGAACTTTCACCATCTGGTTGCCCTAGGTCAAAAATCCAGCTCCCTTCATGTGCCCCTCCAGAAACAACATGAGGTGAAGCATGTAGATTTCAAAACCAGGAGCACCCAGGTACTTCAAGCTCCAGGATAATTTATCTTCACTCTGTTAAAACCTTCCCCAAACAAAGAAAATGCACCTGAAGCAAAAGGCTGATATTTCAAAAAGTGAATAAAAGCCTAAAAGAAATATTCATAGCAAGAAATTCTGAAAGAAAATAAAACCTATTTATAGATTTCTGTTTGTAGTGAACCTTGATATTTGCGCAGTGTCACAAACAAAAGTTCCGTTTTCTTGGTTTTTTATCATTTAGTAGCTCTGTCCTAGTTGACAATAAGCACATTCCAGTAAATTTTAGAGAGGGTTTTCTTCCTCTCGGTTCTCTTGGGATTCTTTACACAAAAAAAAATTAAATCCCCCTATTAAATTTAATCCTCCTATTATTTTTTTAGTTTTTATTTTACATGACTATCTTACAAACTACTTAGAAAATATGTATTCTTAAAGACTTAATATTCATAACTCTAAAGGGAAAGCTAAGGTACTCATAGTACATCAGCCAGTCAACAAGCTCACATCGCTGTTGTGAGAACTAGCAATAGCCATTAAAAACGTTTTAAGGAAGCCAACATTAAAAACCAGGTTTTCTTTCAAAGCTGCCCATGTAACAGTGGAATGCTGCTGCTCAGCAGATGGGTGCATTCCACCACATCTGCAAACATATGTGACTGATACTGATGCATGGAAGAAAAACTGATGCAGTTTGCCAGACCTGGACTCTATTTACACAGTTGGCAGTAAGGAAAAGAAATGGAATACTGCATACAAAAATGATAAGCAGGCCCTATAATACCAGGATCACTTTCTGATGAAAACTAAGTTTTTAATATGATGCAAAAATAATACAGGGCAAAGAGAAGTAGAAAGAGACACTCTTTATCAACTGATAACAGAGGAGACATCTGGCATTTTGCACTAAATGACGTCCAATTACTTTATAATTACTTGTAATAAGCCTCAAATACAGAGTAATTCTTATTCTATGAAACCAAACCATCATAAAAAAGTCAAGAAGATGTTTTTGTTTTGCTTTTCTAGAAACTGTAACCATAGGACTTGCTTGAGTTCAGAATACAGCCCCGAGGCCAAGACAGAACTGATATCTCAAGTAGAGTTTCTGCCTTGGAGAGCCTGGAAAATGCTGCTTTCATTTCCTCCATCTTTTGCTCCCAACAGGACTCATTTGGGAGCTGCACTAACATGAAAGGTCAGGCACATCATGGACTTTTACAGGCTGTAAGGCAGTGCTGTACCCTGGCACTCACAAATCTTTGGAGAAAACTTATCAGCAGGGAGAAGGTTTCTTCCCCCACCCTAATACTTTTACAAGCATGACAAAGAAGACAAAGAGTTTTTTGGTATGGGAGGCAGAAATGGGAAGATAAAAAAGAAAATAAAAGGCCAAAACCAACCAACACCACAATCACAAGGCTTTCCTCAAATAATTCAGAACCCTTCAAGCAGACATATATTTACTTATTATGTTCTAAAGATGAAGAATTCAGATTTCTTAACTTAAATAGTGTTAGGGAGCATATATTCTTGACAAATTTTAGGACAAATAAAATTATCTGTCCGCACTCTCCTAATCATTATGAAGAAAACTACAAGTCAAACTTGAAAATGTTCAGCTTTTCCAAGTTACTCTGCTGCTTAGCCACAAACTATTACCAGTGTTTATCCTTTACCTCTTTGATGCCAGCTGATGTAGCATTCTACTTGTGGTTTTGCTCTTTATTTGAAGCAGCATGGACTTCCAGGGGCTTGTCACCTACTGCATCACCCTTGAGGAAGAAAAAAAATGTGCACAACATTTCAATTAAGGCAATCCATGATTAATGTTTTTACCAGAACAGAAACTCTACAAAAGCTGAAATAAAAATATCTCACAAAATCAAGTGGTTCATGAGACTAATTCAGCGTAATACACTCAAATATGATCCTCTACCAAACACTTTCTAGATTTTAGTCTTCCTATAGTTAGCCAAGCAATTAAAGGATTTGAAAGAACAAGTATTTTCAGCAGAAGTGCTTTAATTGAATCATTTTGTCTGTATTAATAACAGAGGATGAATACCCACAGAGTAGTTGCTAATTTTGCATTCTCTGAATTCTGTGTGGATTTATACAATAGGCCTCTTTCAGCACATATCCTTTTAGAGGGTGTTCTCACATTTTCCCCAACATAAATGACAGAAATAAAAGAAGAAAAAATGAAGAGAAGCTTGTTACAGGGTCTGGTCTATCTATTTGCCAAGATGCTATAACAAACATGCATTTGATTACAGCTTTAAATAGATATCCATTAAAAAATACTTAAAGGGCCACACACATGGCCTGGGGACTGAAGCACAGACAAGGACAAGCTCAGATGAGGATTTGTTCAGACTTGTGAGGACCAGACAAAGGGGGGACCTAATTCCTATCCACAATTTCTTAATGGGCATTTACATATTTGGAAAAGCCAGGTTCTTCTCAGAGGTTCACATCCAAAGGACAGAGAGAAAAGGACAGAGGAGCATGGTAAATTTATCTTAGATCAAAGGGCAAAAAATTATAAATGTATCACACCACTGATCACTGAAGCAGGTTTTCCAGAGAACTTTTTAAAATCTCAAGCCCTAGAAATAATCAGCACATGACTACATAAGGCCTGAAACACCAAATCTAATTTTGAAACTGTCTCTGCTTTGAACAGGGAGTTAGGTGAAATAATCAGAGCTGACACCCACCCTCAATTGTTCTTGAATTCTACACATGGAAATTAAACAGCATTTCCTCTTTATTCTAGAAGGCTATTTTTACCAACATGAATTAAATAAAGAGATGATTGGTGACAGCCAACATGGTTTCACTAATGGCAAAGTGTTCCTGACAAATCTGGTGGCCTTTTACAACAGGGTTATAGCAGTGGTGGACACGGGAAGAGTGATCTGTGACTTGTGCAAAGCACTTGACACTGTCCTGCAGGACATCCTCATCTCTAAACTGGAGAGACATTGATTTGATGGATGGCCCACTCAGCAGGTAAGGAATTGGCTGGATGGTCACACTCAGAGCTGCAGTCTGATGTCTGAGTGGAGACAAGTGACAAGTGGTGCTCCTCAGGGATCAGTGCTGGGACCAGCACTGGTATCTCTGTCAGCAGCAAGGACAGGGGGATCGAGGCAAGTCTGCCAACAACACCAACTTGTGAGGTGCAGTCAACACTCTGCAGGGAGCAATGTCACCCAGAGAGACCGTGACAGGCTCAAGAGGTGGGCCCAGGAAAACCTCATGAAGTTCAGCAAGGCCAAGTGCAAGGTACTGCACCTGAGTCGGGACAATTCCAAGCACAAACACAGGCTGGGCAGAGAATGGATTGAGAACAGCCCTGGGGAGAAGGACTTGAGGTTAATGGTTGATGAAAAGCTCAACATGACCCAGCAAAGTGCCCTTGCAGCCCAGAAACCAACCACGTCCTGGGCTGCTTCAAAAGCAGTGGGGGCAGCAGGGCTGCTTTGCTCTTGGAAGACCCACCAGGAGTGCTGTGCCCAGCTCTGAGGCCTGTGACATAAGAAGGACGTGGACTTGTTGGAGCAAGTCCAGAGGAGGCCAGGGAGACGATCAGCAGCTGGAGCACCTCTTCTACAAAGACAGGCTGAGAGAGTTGGGATTGTTCAGCCTGCAAAAGAGCAGGCTTTGGGAAAACTTCCAGCAGATTTCTAGTCCCTACAAAAGGGAGCTACAGGGACCTGGAGAGGGACTTTTCAGAAGGGCCTGTGGCAACAGGACAAGTGGGAATGGCTTCAAACTGGAAGAGGGCAGGTTTAGATTAGATATTGGGATGAAATTCTCCACTGTGAGGGTGATGAGGCACTGGCACAGGCTGTCCAGAGAAGCTGTGGATGTCCCATCGCTGGAAGTGTTCAAGGCCAGGATGGATGGGGCTCTGAGCAACCTGGTCTAGTAAAAGGTGTCCCTGTAGGGGGTTGGAACTAGACTATCTTTAAGATCCCTTCAATCTCAAGTCATTCTTTGATTCTATAATGCTAAATGTGATGGAAAATGTAGCAAAAGAAGCTATAAGAGACTGGGAAATGTTTCAAAGAATTGGTCAAATTTATATATATCCAATTAAACACAATAAGGCATCAAGTCTTGGTGTGATCCTGCATACGCTGTGCTGGAGATATGGACTCAATAAATCAAGATTCAATTACAAAGATATTTCTTAAATGTCTTATTCAAAAAATGCCTCTCAAGACCTTTAAAAGTTAGTTCTTTCTTTCAAAAAACCATTTTGTTTTGATTATTATCCTGGATATTTCTTAGTAGAGAAAATCACATCCACAAACCACACCCATTTCAAAATAATAATCTACTCTGTAATTTGCCTGTACAGGAACTTTTAAGTTATGACATTTTACTAAAATTTACAATGAATAATCTGACTAACGATGCCTCATGTCAGAGTTTACTCAATCCTGAACAAATGAACTAAAAATAAGCTCCTCACAGAGAAGCCTGTGTTCTTCCAGTTTCTTGTTTTAACTTGTAAAAAGCAATTATTGTCTAGGTAAGCTGGTAAGCTTTTCTTTTTTTAATGTCCTGAAAGAGGAAAAGAATCTAAAGCAACACACACATAAAGCAAAAGAACAAGGGTCTTGCTAAATTCCTTTGTTTCTATGAGCTCAGGAGATCTCATCACAGGACTTGCATTTAGTAGAACTATTAAGCCTGAGTTATTTAATTCAAGCCAATGCACAGATAGACTATCATTCCTCACACAAAGCAATTAAGAAGTTTTTTATTCCATCCATCTTATTACTCCATTTTATACTCCATCCACTGTATATGCCCACTGTGTAAAGAGTGAGCCCAAGTGAGACAACTCAAGCAGTAATGTGAGTTAGCCAGAAAAGGACTTCCTGTGGCACAGGCACATAATTTTACAAAAAATTGCCAAACTCCTCTAGCACACTCAAAAATAAGTCAGAAGTAAAAAATGTGTTTAGATCTATGACTCAGAAGACAGACTTCCTCTGTGCCAGGGTACTCTCATAATCAGAAGCAGGCATATACTCAAGACAGCCTTTCTACTTTCTGGCTCAACACAACTCCATAACAAATCTGGGTGGCCAGAGGAGTTCACACATCAGAGCGCTATCCTACAGCAGAAGAGGAAATATTTTGCATTCTTGTGTTTCTGTTTCATGTGGAAGGTGACTGATAAGAAATTTTCATAATGTATTCATTATCAAATGTTCAACACATTGGGATTCCTTGGGATTTAAAAAAAAATCATTATTTGAAACTAAAAATAACACTGGAACTAAGGAGACTGTACAGTTTCAGTACATGAGTGGTTAAAACATCCCAACTTAGCTCACACAGTATCTAACAGAGATACATTGAGACCTAAATTTTAAAGAACAAACTTTGCAAAAAACTCACCACGATTACTCTTAAAATTTTCTTTCCCTAGAGAGAAAACCACCACAAAGCAAACTAGCTAAATGTTAAACCCTCAGATGTGTGGTGCCTCTTTCCCTTACATTATAGCCGAGCCAGGTGCAGAAGTTTCTGTTACTACATCAGAAGGCTTGCAGACGGTCAGACCTTTTTACACTCATCTTAGAAATTTTAACTTCAGAAGTAGGTAAGATAGGTACATATCTTTCATGCTTATGGAAACTCTTGAAAGGGAAAGTCTGGCCACTACAAAAAAAAACAGCCACTGAAAAATTAAAACAAAGGCTCACCTGGGCTCACAGATTCATAATTTACCTTCTGTCCTCTTTTGTTTGCAATGTATGGCTTGGAATAAAGAGAACATCACTGCCTTACCTTATTCATCCTCCCCTAGTTAATCAGTAACTTCTTATTTTATTTAAGTTGACCTTCAACTTAATTCTCACAAAAATATGAAGTACTTTCAAAAATGTTGAAATGCTGCCCTGAGAGAGATCAACTTTTTGCAGAGTACCTTCTTTCCATCCATCCATCCCACCTCTATCACATCTAAATTCCCCACTGCCCGTACTAAGCATTCATTCCAAAAGAAATAATATTTCTTACAAGTTTCACACTATTTTTGTCCTTACTACCAAACAATAAAAGGAGGGCATATAACAGAAAACATAATTTTCTGCCAGAAGTAGATGTTTATCTTTTAGTTGAGATGACTAAACTTTTGCCTGCCTATTCAGTACCTACCAAAGCCAAGCCTGACAAGCATTTTTTGCTGAAAGAAACTCTCTCAGCTGCTTATTTTATGTTTTAAAAGATGACTCAAATACATATGACTTAAAAACTCTCTTAAAACAAAATTCAAGGTTTGTTATGGTGACAATCTGTGATGCTGATGGTGAGGCTCCCCAGTCAAAACACTGACATCATAATTTTCAACAGAGCTTTCAGGTGAGGAAGGTGCTGGTCCACAATTTCCTTGACACTTGTTCTGAGCAAGTACAGGAAATCAGCTAAAGCTGAGCCCTCTTTGCACCTGGAGACATTCAGTAACCAGCCAGCACTTAATAAAATACCCAGGGATTGCCATAGAGATAGATTTTAAATATATTTATATTAAAATATATTTATATATTTTACATGTGTAATAAAAATATATGGGTTTAAAAATTGTATGTATCATATATTAGTATTGCTAAGTCACTGGTGGTGTCCATCAGCACATCAGACAGGAATGAAAACCAAATAATATGTCATATAAGTTTCTCTCAGTCTCTGAAGCTGAGATAGAAATTAGTCCTCTGTGAGATCTCATTACTAGTTGGGCCAAAGTGAGAAAGAGCAAACACCAGAAGAAAGGAACAAGGGCTGAAAGATGGGTGTATTTAGAGCTGTAGTGAAGTTCTGGTTTTACACTTTTTGGCCACTTCACTAAAAACAAGGGGTGCCCAATTCAGTGTTGCTGGAAGAGAGAGAATCCAAAATTGTTAAAAATACAGCCAAAGTCTTTGAATGGTATAGAGACAAAACAAAGTGAGAACTAAGAGAATAAAATTATTTTTCTAAGTGCTTCAGTTTTAGTAGAGGGACTTTATCCTGACATCTGAAGAGCTCCATCCTTCAATAGCATATTTAAAACATTTATCTGATTGACTTGCTGTACGGAGGGGCTGCAGTTTTGAAATGTAGGCACAGAAGGTCCCAGAATTCATCCTTCTTGGCAGAACTCAGAATTCAGTTGATATGACCTCAATTTGGCACAGGTTTTTGTTTCATAAAACCTTCAGAAAATTAACATACCACATTTATTTTAATGACATACTGCTACACAACATGAAGTTATGCACAGCTGTGGTACCCATGACTATCAAACAAATTATGAGCAACGTAACAAATTAACAGAGGCCAAGAAGAGCCACCCATATATTGCTTGACTATTTGCAAGAATCCTTTGTGTAGCAACAGGAAAATGTTGGAGTAAATGTCACAAAAACAAAAATAATGTCTTTTGCTCTGGCATAGTTCCATGAAATGGGTTACATCTGCTGCAACAACAACTCAAGAGTAACATTTAGACCTGTCTTCACCAGTTCAGGAACCCAGCTGCCTAGAACGACAATAAGAAATATGTCTACAAAAGCAACCAAATTCTTTCACAAGATTGACAAATTAAGACAGAAGTCATAGAGTCTACCCTAGAATGCTTTGCCAATTTTAGTATATGACAGCATTTTCTTCCATGACACTTCTGTGTAAGTCTCCAACAAAAATGGAACTTAAAACAGAAATTTTTCTGCTTGAAAAGTTGCTATGATTTGGTGGCGCTAATAATCCATATGATTATTTCCCTATGAAACAAACCTAAACCCATCTCTACCCACCCAGATTCTCAACTATGTATTTTGTATGGTTTCACCAACGCAGGCCAAAGGAAGCTTCAAGGCAAACTTCTTCCATTAGAATCACTTCTCAGTCCCCATTTTAGACAAAAGCACTTGACTTTTTACAGCTGCTGTTCAGCTGTACTGCATAGCAGGGAGACAAGACCCTCTCTTCAGGAATTTCAGAGGACAAAGCACCAGTAAGGCTGTTTGCCTCAGTGGTAAGAGATCCATGAACTTGGGAAATGCAAGTAGTTTCATCAAGTGATCAAGTACCATTCCTTCATTTGAGTCACAAGGTTTCTGTACCTTGTCTAATCCATCAAGTTACACAGCAACAGTTCACACTGACAGTATCTGAACAATGAGATGAGCTTTTGGAGAAGACCCATCAATGGGCATTTTGCTCTTTTGTGCAAGTTTTGGCAACTAAGGGGTGTGATTTAAAGATTCTGCAAGGAGGAAGAGAAGGAAGTGTGTTTACTTAGTGGTCTCTGCAATTCTGCATACTGTTTGTTTTTCTGCTGAGGTAGCAAGTGCTTGCACTATAAGTGCAAGTCTTATAGTAAGATAAAAGTGTCAAAAGTTTTTGCCTTCCCATAACAACCATGTGTACCCTTTTGAAAGCCTGGGACATAATAAAAAAAAAACTTCAGCTATTTTTTACTAATGCTGTCAGTTTGTCTTCTGAAATATTTCAACATTTTTGACAGCCTAGGTTTTAGGAAAGGCACAGAATGACTAACTAGTCTTTGTTTATTCAAGTTCATAGACTGAAGTGCCTTGGGCCAATACAGGATGAGTATCGACTGATGAAAGTCTTCACTCTCAGAGGACTCAGCAACTCCCAGGACACGTGAACATTTCCCCAGCCCAGCTTGTATGGAACTAGTCCTACACCCAGCCCTACCAAGGGAACTTGGTGCTATCCCCGAGGTCTATCCAAGTGTTATTTTGTCTCCAAAACACCTCTCTCCCTATCACAGTGAGTTTAGAAGTTAATTTAAAACCACAGAAGATTTACATTACACACTTGAACTTTTATTTATTTTAGCAGCAGCTAAAAAGAACACCTAAAAACCTCACAGGCTTTCCCTGGCACACATTTAATCAACTTGCACAGTTCTCCAGTCTCTCACACTGTGCTTCACTAAGCCATCTACATGTATTTCCTAGAACTCTGCTTATCTGTATTAGATTATTCTAAAGGAAACTTCCAAACATCATTTCTGAAAGTTTAACTTGAAGTAAGCCTAAGGTTTTTCCACAGCTTAGAAAGAGAGAATGAAAAACTTCTCTTCAGAAATAAAGGCCAAGTGAACAGTGGAACAAAAACACTGTTGTCTGTAAACTTTTTGTCTGAAAAAGCAGTGGTAAATTCAGAAATCAGGTTCCTCAGACTTCTTACCTTATCACCTTTTTCCCCTGATTTCTTCTTCTTAGGATTATCCTTCCAAAGAGCTTCTACAGCAATATATCCTTGAAGACTCCAGTCATACAGCTGTGTGCCAGCAACCTTTGAAACGAAAGTTTTTAGAAAGCATGAACTTAATAATCTGGGAAATATTGCCTTGCTTCTTATTTAAGTGGAAAAAGTCTCAAAACACAAGATGTTTAACTCTTCCTGTTCAAGCTCATGATGTACAGCATTAATAAACATTTTGGAAAATAATGTGAGATGAGAAATGAGAAAAAACAATACGCTAATAAACTGTCTGAGGACTACCTGAATATATATCTGTACAAACAGTGGAATGATGCTGCATGGAAACAATCCTGGTTTTCTTAGTATTTGACATTCAAAATATGCAAAGTATTTCTTAATTTGACCATACCCATTTCAAAGACCCTATTTAGGGTGTCACTATTCTGCAATTTTAGATTTTCTTCTTATTTATTTTTTAGAACTTCCTGATAGATGAATGAAACGAATAACCAGCTGTCAAGTCCTAAAACAGAACACAGCTAGGAAAGTCTGTATATGCTATATTACAGCAACAGCTATTTTATGACAGGGAAAGGCCCTAAGTCTAATAAAACAGTATCCCTTGTCCCTTATGTGACATGGAATTGGACTATTCATAACACTCTTTAAAACTAAAGAGTGTTAGCTTTATAGTGTTATAGTATCTTTACAGCCAGGCTCAGCTCTATACTGACTTTCATATCACTACCTGTTTCTGTATGAAGAACAGCAAAAAGGACAATTTGTCCAACTAAATAGCTATTAAACTAAACAAACCTTATGAAATCAAGAGCTAAGAAGGTATTTTCCTATCTTCTACAGCAGGCAAAGCTACAAAACGCAAACTGTGAGAACAGGGCAAATGTAAATGTTTCTGAAACAGTTTTCTGATGCTTCTGAAAAAGTTTCTGAACTACATTTTTAAGTTTCTTCCAGTCTCCATCAATTCACTGTTCAGAGATTTCCTGAGCCACAGGTGATTTTTATGCGTGCAAAGAGGCCCAAGGAATTTCCCTTCTCTCAACTTTTTGCATGGAGTTCAAGGGGAAGTGCAAATTTTTAGCATCCCTGTGCCAAGTGTTTCTACTGCTGGGAACGAATGGTGTGAAGAGCCACTTCCCCTTGTTTGTCTGATCTGTAATCAGCAAGACTGATTACACCAGTTACTACACAATGGTACAAGGATGTGCTTCTGGCCAGATACCATGTGCTTGCTACCTCACAAAAGAGGCTATTGAATAACTAGAATTAAAAGAAAACAAACCCAAATCAGCAACTACACTTCCAAGTCACAACTAAATCCAAAATGTAGGCTGTCTTAAATACAAAGTGTCCTTTTTGTCACCATATCTGACCAATTACTTTGGTTTAAACAAACCACCACTGGATGCATTCAGTTTTCTCTAGAGTTGAAAGTGATAAGGGTTATCAGAAAAAGCACATCAAGTGAACTAGTTAAATCTCCAAAACTGCACATTTTAAATAGTGCAGGTATAGACAGTTAGTTTGCTTTTCAGTATCAGAAGTGTTCATTCTCTAGCACTTTAACAAACTAGCCGGCTCATCTGAAAAGATGGTGGTCCCTTGTGCCAACAGTACAAGCCTACCAGGACTGAAAAATAATCACAACAAACAAAATGCTGGTTTTGTCTGCAGTATTACTGAAAACACAGCTATCAAAATAAAATGAGAAATAACAACTGTCTTTAAGCTTTTTTTTTGTTTCTGCTTAAAAATACTCCATTAAACTATTTGAAACCACACTAAATGTCTTACAGTAAAAAGCTAAAAATATTCTTATTATAGGAATCATATGACCAAGTGATTTATGAATTGCTTTAAATAAGAAACTGGTCATTCATGTTGCTGGATTAAGTAGCTGCATCACAATGTACAGCAACCCAGACAGTTTAGTTTGCCAAAACCAACCAATGTTTCACCAGTGCACAAACCTCCCAAGAGCCAGGACCCACAGACACTTTCACAGTTGACAAAGTTCTAGGCAGACTGGAAGTGCAAGCTACAAGGTTAACACACTAAAATACCATCACTGTTGAATGCAGCACTGTAAGCAAGTTTGTATGCTAAAGTTCGAACAAACAAGTTCAAAAGTCAGATAATTGGTTCTCAACAGGGTTTCTGAAAGTTTCAGGTGACCATGGGCCGCCAACACCCACACTAGGCTACTGGGGTAGCACCAGTGGTCTCCAAGGCCTAATTGCCACACAGCACCATGAGCAGGCATTACTGACTATATTGGATGTTACACAGAATTACACAAAGGGAATTCCATTACACAGAATTAACTGGATGTTACATAGAATTCTTTATCTAGTTTCATGCTGAGAAAATAAACTGAGCATCCACTGGTTTTCTGCACTGACACAGTTAACAAAGCAGTCAAAGCATTCAGCAGCAAACATGGATGGAGTGACCCCAACTCCTGCTTTCCAGCTCACAGCTCCTGGAATCATGTCCTGCTCTCAGCTGTGCCAGCACAGCTCTTTATGCCTTATAGACTGAACTGAGCAAGGGACAAGATAGAGGTTCAAAAGACATAGAAATAATGTGGTTTGCTGTCAAAGAAACAAAACTGGCATATTGGGAAGCTTTTTTTTCTTTTAAGAAGAATGAAAGCATAGACAGAATTTTAGTCAATTTGAAAGGTTCTAATAACAAAGGACAAATTTTAATTCTAATGATAGAGTGATTTAAATAACTACATAACGAAAAGTTCTTTCCAGATGGAAGATAAGCCACAATAAATAAAAAATATTTTGAGTATATTATGATTAGCTGGAAAGCAATACCATTTCAAAACACTAAGTAGGGTTCCATCAGAATAAAATAAGCTTTAGCATTAAATTCAGTTCCCCCACCATATATACAGTCTAATCTTTTGCACAAAGTTATTAAAAGGAAATAAATTCCTTACAAATTTGTGATTTGTTGGAATTTGCGATTATTTATTAGATTATTTACTAAGGCAGGGGAAAAAAACCCAGTCTATGAATTTCTTCTGTCTTCTGTTTGATGATCAGTGTCTGAAAACGACCTGTTACCAATGATGAATTCTGTTGCTACAACTTCACCTAGGAATTGATACATCTTAATTAAAGAAAAATTTTTACTTCCAGATGAATTAAGTGGTGGACCTCAATTACAAGTACATTTTGCTGTGTTTATTTCCAATTCTCCATTGGAAAATCTTAAATAAAAGTGAGACAGAAACAAAACCCCCACAAATCAGAAAACCAAAAACAACATAATACCCAGTGAAGGGAATTATACAACTGTAAAAGAAAAAGCAGTGATGAAGTATTTAAGTGTGGAAGAAAAAAAAAGAACATAATATAAAAAATAAAATAATTTAAATTTATGTTCCACAATATTTTCTATATTGTTTCATTAACTTGGCAAGTGAGCTTTGTCCTGCAGACAGTCCTTTCTAGGTTTACAGACTTTTTTGAAAGGCCTATGAAACATTTAAAATTAATTGAGAGGAAAGTGTTTCCAATTTCAAATTAAAGCCTAAAAATTATGGATAGTAAGATACAGTATATTTCAAATTTGTTTTTTTAAGAAAAGAAAAGCACAAGATAGATTAGAGGAACCAAAACAGTATCTAGGATATTACTGTCCCCACAGAAGTTTCCAAATTCATACGTCTACTGTCCTGATCAAGTCAACAAAGCTAAACCCATTCCAATCTCCTAACAGATTTTTCATTACAGTCAAACTAAGAACTGTGAATTAATCAAAGAGCAATCATGCACTTCAAAGTTCTCATAAAATAAACTAAGTATTGTGAAGCTGTTAGCACCAAATCCATAGTTAAGCCTGAACTGAGCTTCTTTAAAAACAGTAACATCAGTTTGAACAGCGTTCAATCGCTTCCCACTTCACTGTTCAGAAGGCAAGTAGAATTTTAATACACAGTTTCCAACAGAAATGTCTAAGCTTCTTAAATTTTGATTTTTTTTCCCTGCCACTTGCATAATTTTCACTCTCTGAGAATAAGTCAACAGAATTATCTGTAATTAGAGCATCTGAATCCTGGAAGCAGTAAAAAAAGATTCCATCAAAGATCAGAGTACCACCACGCTGACAGAGTTCAAACTCAGCAGTTTTGACTCTCCCTAAGTCGATGACCTTTCAGTTTTCAAAGAATATCATATGTCCTTGAGAATATCATATTACCATTCTGACATCTCAGGGTGGCCGGTAGCTAAACAGCAAATTTACCAAAGGCTGAAATATAAAGAATTTCTGAAAGATGCAAGTATGTGCACTGTGAGTGGTTAAAAGCTGGGTTTGAAACACAATGTGGTGGAGAACTGAGGAATCTGCCAGCACCACTAAGTGTGGACAGCAAGGCACATAATCTAACATCAGCAAGGGCTGTAAGCAATTCTGTGGTCTCTTCTGCTCTTTCTCTCACAGAAAACTCATTTAAGCAACTGCAATTTAACACATTTCTTGCGTGCCTGAAACAACAAATCCATAAATAGGGAAGGCATCCTGTAAGTTTGCAGAATTCTTACCCAGTTCCAGAATGTGCATGCTATTTTTCTTAAAGCCCCAACCAAAAAAAAGCAGAAAATGTCAATAACGTTTATCTCAAAATGTTATGATGACTTGTCTAGAGAAACTTTTTTTTTCTTTCAAACACTGTTTGCATTTGCTCACAAGATATTTCATGTTTCCTTAGTATTGTAAGTAAACACACAAACTGCAGTCACTTAGCATATTTATTTTAATTTAGTGTTACATGAGGTTAGAGATATTGAAAGGAAATTATGTTTCTCTAACTGAAGACACTACTGCAGATATTAGGGAAAAAGAGTCACTAAAAGGAACAAGTCTGATTATCTTTCAGCCCAGACTGCATCTGCTTTGACAAAATAACCATAATTTTGTTAATTGCCACTGACATGACTTTTAAACATGGATGACCTGTTAATCTGAAGCTAGGAGGCAACAATCAAAGTAAAAGACAGTTCTCCAAAGAAAGGCATCATCACTGACCTTTGCAATATCAACCGCTTGCTGAGGGTAATACATGGAGGTACCAATACCCATGAGAACTGCAGGATACACCAACTTCTTTATTTTTGAGCCTGTTTTGTAACAAAAAATAAAAAACCACAAACCATTGTTAGAGTATATGTTAAGCAAGTCAGCTGAATGGCCCTAAAATTTTATTTATAACTTTCTTAAATGCATTTTAGTGTATTTACTATCACACCAGTTTCTAAAGAAACATAATCACTCTGATCAGTAGGGGCCCCCCTAATAGTTTGCTAAACTTTCTAAGCTTCACTGAGATTGTATCTTAGACAGATTGTGCACATAAAATCCTTTGGACATAAACTGCTGACCAAGTCTGGGACTAGGACTGGACACATCAAAGCTCCTCTGAGTAGGAATCTAGAAAGGAAGGAGGCTGTCTCTGAATCCTGTGACTCAAGAGGATGATCCTCCCCAGACAGGTCTGTCTGACCCTGTCCTCTCTGTAACTGACCAAGTGTACCTTGCCATCAGATCCTTTCAAATCACTGCTTTATATCAAGAAACACATTGCTGCTGCTCTCTTACAAGTGAAGTGCATCACTCCATCCGTAACATGAGTTAAAACTAATTATCTCTAATGGCATTTTAAACCAAGCTGGATGACTGCACAATATTCACGTGATTAAACTTTGAATATCATATTCTCTACTTAGTGAGCAGCTGTGCATATTCAATTGTTATGACTAGACCTGGAGGATTTTATCTGTACCTTCCAAGAGGGCAATTTCTCCACAAAGACTAAGGAAGGGAGGAATAAAATAAAGAGGACATTTGGTAGCATCAAAATTAAGGGGAACTTCCTTCTATGGTTATAATACTTTCTGGAAATAATAGTCATATTTTAAACTATTACCAGGGAAAAAAAAAAAGTCTTAAAGTCATGGCTCCCATCCTAAAAGATTCACAAATTTAACATTTTTAGTATGAGATACGTTTATTTTCATTAAACTTAGGGTCCTCTAGTCTTTAAATTCCAGTCTCAAGACCACACAAATGATGTCTTAGGATTCAGCCTTTCTATTTTTCAGACCATGTACTGCTTTAATGTGTAACTCACTTTCCCCTCTTCCCTCATTTTGCCACATTCATAAGTGATGCAAGCTGATCTCACTCATGATCATGGCAATTGAGAAGCAGGAATTTGAAGAAAAAGAACTTAAAACAGGGAACTTAACTTGATTTCATTTAAAAAAAAAAACACTAGGGGAAAAAAAAAAAGTACTGCTTTCACCAGCTTCACTGGAAAATTAAATTTTTTGAGGTGCACTTCTAATTTCTACACAGCCAAGCACATACTTCCAGTTTATTCAACACATTCAGGCTCCACAAAGGTTTATTTTTGTCCAAACCATGTCCTCACTGGTATTTAAATTCTACAGCTTTTAAGTTCTGGTACCTACATTTCACTGCATTAAGAATATCTCAATGTAAGCACAGAATACTTCTTCACACTTAACATTTCTTAGACTAATGCTTCTTTTTATGAAACCATGAACATTTCTTCAATTAGTGTGATGAAATTAATTGTATCACTTTTCTGTAGTGCAAAATGTGCAGATATTTATAGTACACCCAGAGTTCACAAGTCTATGTGCTGAGTCACTATCTGCAGCAGCTCTGCACGTGGACACACAATCCTTTGTAAAAACTCGAATATACACCTAATTGGACACATATCATAGTTCAGGAACATCTGTTATTTTAACATAATTCATTCCTCTGTTGTTTTCTACAGTAACATATGTGATCAAGAATTTCAATAATTAAAAATATTTTTAGGTTAAAAGATATCAAACCAGTCCTTTGCCATTTGTTATACTAAAATACCACTGGGAAATACAGAAGACTAGATTTTAGTAACAAATACAGCAATGATAAAACAATAATTGTTGGTTATTGAACACCTTTTCCATGAAGTTTCTTTATAATTGGAGGAACAGTGTAGAAACACGCTTGTACAGTTAATTCAGATCTCCCTGTCATAATTAAAAATTAGTACCCTAAAACCCACAAAAAATTACTTATCCAAAATCATAACATAACCAGTTCAAATGCTTCCCACTTACCTCTAGCAAGAAACAATCCAATAATTCCAGCAAAACTTATCACACCAAGTCTTGGATAAAATCCAGCAGGCGGTTTTTGGAGAAATTCATAGCCCTCTGAAAAGAAGCCAGAACAAAGTGCTTTAATGTAATGTGAAAGTGTTTTTGTGATAAGGAATCATCAATACACGCTGGCAATTATTACAAAACACAAAGAGTTATCAAAACACATTTAACTATCATGAGCATTTTAGATATGCTGGCAAAAAATTCAAAGCCTCTGAGATTTTCTCTAGTGACACATGAATGAAACTGAATATTGTATTGTATTCACCAATTTTCATAGGAGCTTTGCCTTTGCTCCTGGGCCATCTCTTTTGCTTTGCTCTTTTGCATCTCAATCGTATCTTTTTCAAATTAGTGATGAAAACCTTTGCAAAATGGAATTTTACAGTTACATGTTAACAATAACTAGTTTCAGTAAAATACTGTACAAAAATCAAATCACAGAACAATGGAAAGACACAGCAAAAACAAAGTGCACTCTAAGATGGGAGTCTGGTGGGGGAATGGAAACTATGGAAAATCTCCCATGCCAATGAGTTCAAAAGACTGAAACTTCTAAGTTTAAAGAAAAGAGGTGCAGTATCTGAAATGAACTCTACAAAGAATCCATGCTCAGTCATGGTAAGCCCAAGTATGAAAGGATGGTCCCAAAAATAAAAACAACTTTGGATTAATTCAAAATTCTTAAGAGATCCATGGAAGAAAACCAAAATGAAACAGCTAAACATTACAAACAAAAGACCTAATGCTTACAAGTAATAAACTTTACAAGAGGTTTCAGCTACTAAGCTGGGCCAAGCAAATACTGCTGGCTGGGAATAAATTGTGAGGGTTTTTCCCCTTCTGTTCCTGCATAAGTAATTTTTAGTGACACTGATAAACATAAATGCTGGTCTCGGATTTCAATTGTTTAGAAATGTAGTGTCATAAGTGGCCCACAAAAGAAATTCAAACAGATACACAGTGGAAATAAAGTAGTCTTCAATGCATTAGAAATTATACATACAATGATGCTTCATGGAATTCCCTTTAAACTGAAGATATAGTACAGTCCTGCATTTTCGACTGCTAGTTAAGAAAACTAAACTGATTTACCTCTACCATGCTCAACAGCTTTTTCTAACGTGGGCTTAGCTTTGGCATAAAGATCCTAAAAAAAAAGAGAACAAGGGTAAATAGATACCAAGTAAGTAAAATATTAACTATAGACTGTAAATGACCTGACAAAGGAGGAAAAAAAAAAACAAAACAAGAAAGAAAAAGGTGATGGGTCCCTAAAATAACTTATTTTTATTCCCATTTCCACCCTTCACTTATAGGGCTATGCTTGCTCAATGTTACATTTAGCACAACGTACTGATTTTTCACAAAGGAGTCTTCAGATAGAGATAAAATACAATACTTCAAAACACAGATGTCAATCTCAGTATTTTATTGCGATCAGGCAACTGAAACTCAGAATTACCTTGGGTTTCTCAGTGTATGCAGGTACTCCAAAAATACCTGAGGTGATGCAAAGAAAAGAAGTACAACACTGCAATAAACTCCTTCCTCACACTTTGCTAGGGTATGTGACTCATTCTGCAAGGTGATAAATTCCACTTTCCAGGAGACTGTCTTAGACTAACAAGACTGCATTTTGAAGTGACTTGGAAAATTAGATGTCCATAGATGTCCAAAGTAAATCAACCCCACAGACCAGTTCTAGATTTTTTTCAGACTGAGAATAGTCAGGAAGTAAAAGAATGCAGACTGCCTTTTATCAAAATAGAAAAAAAAATCTCAACAAAAAGAACCTTGCTAAGTGTTATTTACATTAATAATGCCTCAGAGAGACAGTGTAAGGCTGTCTATAAATGAGGGAACAAATTCATATACATATATGCCCAAAGCTAAAGCAGAGAATAGTCTTGCAATTCCACCTGAGCTGCATCTGTGCAGAAGTGAAAGCATTTGTTTAGAATACTGTATGGGGATATCTTTAGAACTTTTATCTCCTCACTGGCAAGAGTGATGTAAAAAAAACCCATCTGTCATGAAAATAAAAAGGTGTTAGTATGTGACACACAACTTTAAATGGATGTTGGCCTTATTAAAAGCCAATTTAAGAAGAACTTGCTCTAAAGACCCCACAGACTAAGCCTGATCTTCTGTCACAACTGAAATATAACTGGCTCATTTCTACATCTAAGTTTTGAGTTGCATTTCCACTACAGTTAAGTAATTTTGGAAAAGTAAAATGGATATACAAACATAACCAATTTCATTCTGATTATCCTAAGTTATCTGTTTGATTTTAAAGACAACTGAGATACACCTAAATATTTTCTTCAACACATCAGGGATGGGCAGGGGGTGTAAAACCAAAGCTACCTGTGACTACAGTTAAGCAAGATTGCCCCAAACCCATAAAGTCTACATGCCCACTTCATAAAATGAGTCAGTAAACCACTGCCAGGAAATGGCTTGTTGTGTGTGAGCAGAAGAGTACATCTTATGTCAGTGATCACCAGACAGACAAAAAAATTAAAACAAATAGGATGACAACAGGTCAGGAAGACATCAAGCAAGGTTAAAGCCTAACCTCCTCTCCAATTTCACTGCCCAGTTAGGGTTACCACAGGCAACCAAACAAAACCCATATGTTCAGGAGGCCAGAAAAATCCTGTGGAAAACCTCCCTTCCTCTTCCCCTTCCAAGCTGCAGCCAGTGCTCCTGCTGGCAGCACTGCACAAACACTAGACCGAGTAACTCTGGAAAAATGTTTCAGTCCTGGTAAAGGTAGCACCACACAGAACTTCCAGGCAGAAAAGACACCCCAAACTGAACAGCCTGGCTTTCCATGGAGAGCTGGGCAAACAGCCAGCAGCTTAAGAGGATTCACAACAGCAGAGGGCAAAGTAGAGAATCGCCTACAGCTGCCAAGAGACAACCACAGGGCAAAGATGCTCTCACTTCAAAAATAAGCCTCAACATTTCCTGAGCAGGAAAGAGCAAGAAAGCTATCCTGGGGCTTTGCAATCTAATACCAACAATTTAGGCCTTGATTACAAAAATCTTGGTTTTCCTTTCTGCTACGGAGCCTATTTTTGTATTTAATGACTATTTACTATAAACATACTACCTAATAAAATATATATGAGGAAGTTTTTGGGGAAAAGTCTGGGGATTAGGTTTACCACTACTTAGTGGCCTGGGATTTTCTCTCTTCCAGAGAGCTGTATCCCTTCCCTCAACATTCTAGTTCCACAAATACTGATTTCTTTTTTGCTAAGTTGTGTTTTGTCACAGTTGCAGCAAGGGCAACTTGGTTTTGTTGCTCCGAAACACACTGCTTTGATAATTTAAGGCCTCCTTCAGCATGAAAACTGCAAATACCACTCTCCTATCTTCCTCAGCCATAGAACAGTGCCAAATCCAGATATGCCTAGGTATATTTAAGCCTAAAGTTCACTTCAGAAACAACTCTATGCTTTAGTTAATTTTAATTCTTTTAGAAAGAGAAACCCTAAATCCAGTGTTTAGTTCAGCAAATTAGCATAAAGACACAACTGGTTCTTCTGGTGGGAAGGGGGTAAACATTATGACCTGAACTGTGGAAAATTTTAAACAATGCAGAAACTTTCTGTGATACCACATTTTTGAAAAATGCTTTTACAGCTACCAACTTTTACTTTGCTGCTCCCTGTTACGTCCAACTCAGAAAAAATAAACCACAATCCCAGCTGGGCTTTACCCCTGAACCACCACCAGCTGCAAAACAAACCATTATACCTGACACCAGGCTGTATATGGCTCCATAATATGCCGCAAATGGGAAACCCCCTCTTCCAAGTCGGTTTTGGGATTCTCCACATATTTAGTCTCACGAGCTGGGGAGGAGTACAGTGACAGCTGTGAATATCAGCAAACAAGATGTTAAAAACAAAGGTGTAATTGTGTAAGTAGGTCTTCAGGGCATGAACAGTCTAAGCAGAGAACACCTAACACTGTGCTTACTACATAAACAATGCATAATAAAAATTCACACAGCTCTGAGACAACCATTATGAGCAAAGTTTAATTATACAGCACATAATTATGATGAAGATGACTTCTAACTGCTACACAATTCATTCATAGCTACTATATGATCCAAGTCACAAGTTATAAATTAATATTAAACTAGTTTAATAAGAACACACAACATAATTGTGAAAAATGTTTCTCACCTTAATCAGCACTTCTGGTTAACATACTGAATGTACTAGAAATCACAATCAATCATTTTCTATATTTGCACAAGCCATCATTAAAGAGCCTAAGCAGCTTCTAACAAAGGTAACATCCAATACAAATGTGCCTGTTTGTTACTGAGCAGGAAAATGGTACAACCTTTGGTCATTAACCACATGGCACCCTGGCACTGAGCAAAGAGGAACTGTAATGAGCAATGGGCATCTTCACATAATAAATGCTAAACCACCCTGTTTAAGGTTTAGAATCACAACGTCTACTACAATTGCCTGAGCATATTTGAAACTCCTAAGTTTGTACTGCTGAAGATGAACAGAAAAGTTCAGATCAAAACAAAACCTATTAAAATTTCTAGCAGTTTATACGCTACACAGATGTTTAGTATAAAGAGCTTATGTTTTACACCATACTTATACTCCACTTAGTAATTTATTATAAACTAATGATTACAAGTACTGCTGCATTAAAATGTAGCTAGCTCTCTTTTCATGATCAGCTGGAAAACAACTGTCTCTCTGTCTTAACAAAAAAAGTTGCTAGCCATAACGTAATATAGAATCACATCAAATTTATCCAGTAATTTGATAACCTGTGCAGCTGGGTTTCCCATAGTACTGTGAAAGACAAGGATTTTTGGCCTCACTTCCCTAAGAAACCTGGTCATCCCTGGCAATCATAGTCACGAGCTGAACTTTGATCCTCTTGGACAACCTAACAGCAATGTCTGGCACAAGGACAGAAGCCTTGGAGATAAGGAAATTCCCATATATTTTATCGAACTAGACAGCTGACACACTAGAGATCCAAACTAACACCCTGTGAATGGCAAGAAAGGCAGCCAAAACTCCATGGCTTGCACATTCTGCTGTGCTGGAGCTGATGGCAAGTCCATTACTCAGCTCACATGAACTCCACGCTGCTGCCTCACGACTGACTCAGGCCAGCAGAGGCTGGGCACGGTGGCCCAGGCTGCGGCTTCTGGGCCAGGAGCCCCCTGCAACTACAGCTCCTCCCACCCTGTACAAGGGAACGCCCAGCCAAAACACCTACAGAGTCTGATTTAGCTCCAGTGCTTACAGCACAACACTTTAGCTTGGGTGGAAGTACTCAAAATTTTTAAACAACTGCATGCTCTCATGCATATAAAGCTGGACTTAGTTATGAACCACTTATTTTAATTTTTTTTTAGTGCTGGAGACTTTTAAAAAGTCTGTGCAACAATGCTGGTGACTCTGCAGTTTGACAGGGTATTTTAAGGCTCTGCTTATAATCAAGACATTTTTAACACCTTAAAGAAATGAAAACATAACAGGTATTTATTACCATTACTTATTGTATTTGTTGTGGCTTAGGTCTGAAAACTGTGAAGAAAGGAAAACTGATAAAATTCTGTAGGCTACTATGGTGGATTCAAAGTATTGCCAAACAAGAATTTTGATCATAAAAAAGAGACTATTTTTAGAAAGAAAACATTCTTCTCTGCTGTTTTAGTGCAGAACATAAATGAATTTTTATTAGAATTTACCAACAGTACTTAAGTAAAAAAAAGTAAGTGGTATTATCTGGATAAAAAGCAAAGAAGATATTCCTGCAGATTTGAAATATAACCGTAAGTAAATCTACAAATATGAAAATGTAATTTCTGAATGAAAAATATAAGGTTTTAATGTAGGAAAAAGATCTTACACACAAGCAATCCTGGCACTATCAAGTGAAAAACATCAAATGCAATGCCCAGATAAAAGCAAAACTATATAGATGTCTCTATGGTGGAAAATTGAGAAGCAAATTTAAAGGCATGAATACAAAAGGTGATGAGATGTACCTAATTGCTTTCATACATCAAAACACAATGTTTTCAGAATTCCTTAGATAGAAGAGCACTAAGACTCTAACCACACTTACCTCCTCAGTTTTCAGCAATTCCTTTTTGGAAGTCTTCTCTGAAGAAGCAGCATAAACCTGGACAGAGAGCAAGCTCAGGCTGACAGGGGTGGCCCCCAGCCGAATTACCTGGAAACATTATAGGAAGACAAGCACATCATTATGTGCAAACAAAATGGCCACGGTGTTCGAGCACATCCAGGTAGACAATGTTTATGTCCCTCTACATGGTAAAAGGTGATACATTAAGATGCTTGGAAATTAGAAGAAAGGAATGTCAGGAGTACACAATCTAATGCTCTCAGGCACTCAAAGGGCAACATCTAAATCATTCAGATGGCAACTGGAAAAGCCTAAGGCTAAAGGAGGCAGTAGAAATAAATGCTAATCTCATCAGTCTTCATCTAAAAATAAAATCTTGTTTTCTCTCATTTAAAATAATTTTAAAACTTACTCAGTTAAAATTGCAAGATTATTTTCATATTTTAAACAACTTTGTGAATGCCTATAATACCTCCCTTTTCCACAGTTAATACCAAGAAGTTAAGTTTTACTTCTACTTAATATCTGCATCTACATTTAGTAAAACAATGAGACCTACAGCTATAAATATCAGAACAAAACCAATACTTTCTAAGACTTTTAGGAATGTCCCTTACTTTTCTGTGAGAAACATTAATTACTTGACCTTTTTTGAATTCTTTATATTTAATCCAATCACACAACACAACCACCGTGAGTAAGGTGGATATAATTGTTCAATGTTTAGAACCTACGCTAAACTGAACTTCTTAATGGGAAAGTGTGCTCCAAAAAAGAGAAGAAAAAAATCTTAGCTGCACAGTAAATCAAGAATGCCCAGAGAGCATTTTCCAGCAAACGCACATCTTTATTAACAGCAAAGCGTAACTCCAGAAATGTCAGCTGAAATGGGAAAGCTTTCAATGTCTCATACTCCTGTTACTGCTCAGGGAAATGTGCAGAGTTACAACAGCCTGTGTTTGGCTGGATCAGGTTACAGCACGAGTGGATCAAACACCAAACTGGAGGTGTCTGGCTCCTCTCCAGGCCTGGCTCCCAGAAGTCCTGCTGCTCACCTTGCCCTAGCTTTGGTGGCCGGATGCTCCCACCCTGAGGCAATTCACCTCGCCAATTTGGCAAAAGATTAATCCTGAAAGAGAAGTGGAGAGCTATGTGCAGGCTTAGGAAATGGAACCCTTCCATGACAAGCACCAGAGGAATGGTGTGGGCCAGGGGAGAGGACATGAGAAAGGAGAAGGCAGCAAGGCCTCTTTTTCACAAATAGTAGGGTCTGCTGCATTGACCTAGCTGCTTGTGAGACTGAAACCGTGGTCAAACCATACCTCCTGCATGCTGTGATGGTGGTAACTGGCCCAGCCACGGCACAACTGCTCTTTCTGTCTGTTGCAGAACTATTAGAAAATAGCTTTAAAATTATCCAGATCACTTCAGCTCACAGTAGGCAGTCAAGCATTTGCAGCTTAAATTTCTTTTACTGCTTTGCAGGTGGAATGTTTATTCAATGTAACCAAGAGACTCCTCAATTTAAAAATTAGACTATATAGTTGTCAAACTTCCTGAAAATGTTTGTTTAAGTATAGAGAAACAGCACACAAGAACTAGGTCACAGGATTGCTTTTCTGGAAGACGTAAGGGATCTGATGGGTCAAAAGGTATGGAAAAACTTGCTTAAAATGGAAGTTTTTCCTTGTCTGAATTTATGGACTAATTACTAAATCACTATAAATGAAACACCACAATGACTGGTTCAGCTGTTTCACAGCCAAGGAAAGACGAGGATAATCTTTAATAGTGTTAAACTGCTCAAACACTTTTCACATACTTCCATTAGCCAGGACAAAAACGAATGCTACTAACCATTAATAGCTGTAGAGTTTAGTTCCTCAATCTTTCCTTTATTCACTGCAAAATTGTTTTGTCACTGAAAAGGCAAAAATCTGCATGCATTTTCATTCTAAAATATGTTTTCAAACAGTAAATGTGCAAATGGTGCTACGTGTCACCAGCAGAAACAGTAAAACCAAATGTTTTAAATATCTGAAATTTTTATATAGACACAAACAGCAGAGCACAAGACTGGAAGCACCTGGGTTTCACAAAACAGTATCAGAGATCACAGAACTACTCAGACTGAAAATGTCAACTGTTTGTATTATCAAGATACTGAAGACATTTTCCATTGGTTTTACTTTTTAAATAATGAAACTAACCTTTGCAAGTGCGAGCTGAATTTTTTCTTAAATGTGCTGTTCAAGTCATATTGCAAAGGTCCCCTACATCAGCTACCGTACAGGACAGACAGAACTGCTGCTGAAATACTGCATATTTGCACACACAGTATTTATTTGGGAATATGAAAGATCAACTGCTGTACTTTTCGTTTCCAAAACTCCCTTTAGGATCTCACTTTTGAATTCCATACTAACCACGTATTACTAAAACAATTGCATTAGTAAAACATTTTGACTGTGTTTTTAGCCTGCCAGTCTTACAGCCACTCAGTATCAGAAAAGCAGAGCTGACATTCTTTTCTCTTGGCACTGCTCTGCAGTTATTTAGAGCAAAAAAAGATACATTTACTCCTCTCTAGCTGAAGAATTCAACTTTATCTTTAGACATCAGATAGGAAAAGCTTGAGCATACTTTTAAGAAGGCTGATACTGGTCCTAATGTATGAAACCACTTCATTTTTTCTCTTCTTTTTCTATTTTTCCTCCTATTTCTCAACCCAAACTATAGAAACATAAGACCAAAATCCAAACTCTTCAACACTCCTGCCCCTGAAGTACAAATATCCTGGACAAAAAGCTACCTTTCCCTTTGACTCTTGGAGTCATAACATCAGGTTGGCCTGAAGCACCTAAATCCTCAATGGCTGTATAAAAGTACTCATATTATGCAGAGTGCCTAAATGCACAGGTTCACATATAACCCCTCTAATGACAATCCAGCATCAATTATGGAATTCTCAATTATTCCGAGCACAGAATTCCAATATTAAAGCACAAAAAGGAATTCATGACAAGAGCAGAGCAAGCGAGGATCAGTATCACAGACTCATAGAACTGTCAGGGTTGGAAGGGACCTCTGGAGGTTATCCAGCCCAACCCCCCAGCCAAGGCAGGGTCACCTGGAGCAGGTGACACAGGAACATGTCCAGGTAGGTGGGCTCTGAATGTCTCCAGAGAGATTCCACGACCTGGGCAGCTCTTCTAGTGCTCTGCCACCCTCAACGTAAAGAAGTTCTTCCTCAAGTTGACATGGAACTTCTTGTGTGTTTCAATTATATATTCGTATTTAGTATATTGATATCAAGATCTATTATCAGTATTTCACACAGAAAATGGTACTAAAGAAAATGAATATCAAGAATCGAGCATCACCAGGTTTTGCTGTTTTTTTTTAAACCAGCAGCCGTAACAACGATCTGCTGGTACACAGAGCTTGCTTTTAGCCTGATGGGACCTGGGGCTGCTCTAAGCAAAGACCTTTGAGACAGCGAGAGCCGGACCGTGCTTTTCGCAGGTTTCATTGACAACCTTCACGCACTAAAAGGCAGACTTTTCAAGATCGAACTGACACTTTCAAGCCACAACTGCACGAACCCAAACTCTGCGGCAACACAGCTGCGCGCGGATGTACCCCAGAAGCAATCTTAGGTAAGGAATGTGTCTCTTTTCATGCAACACGGAGGGCACGCAGTTCTGAAGCGCTAAAAGGAGCGATTAAGCAGCCGCAAGGAGAGTGGAACTAAGAGCGTGCGAAGAGTTAAGAGGCAGAGCAGAGCGGGGGGAGCCCCGAGCGCTGCCGGCGGCGCGGGCCCTGCCCGGGCGCGGACCCTTCCTCACCTTGAACATGGCGGCGCCGGGCGCGCGGCGACGGGGCGATGGCGTCACCGCGGCGTGACGTCACGCTGTGGCCCCGCCCAGCGCCCGCCCGCTGCCGGCGCCGCTCGGGGGGCGGAGAGGTTCGAATGTGCGCGGGCTGCCATGAGGGAATGGCGCCTCTGGGCTTGTGCGGGGCGCGAGTGAGATGCCCAAAGGGCTTACACGCTAGCCCTCAGCCCCGCAGCAAGGCTTGCTGTGTTACCCTGCAGCCTTTATAAAGAAGGTTCGGCTGTTCAGAGATCACAGAATCAGTCACACGATCAGTCTTTTCCAATCAGGTCGGAAATCCAACCTGTGCCGAACACCACCGTGTCAATGAGACCGTGGCACTGAGTGCCACGTCCAGTCTTTCTTTAAACACCTCCAAGAACGGGGACTCCACCAGCAGTCCATTCCAATGTCTACTCACCCATTCTGTGAATAAATTCTTCCTAATGTCCAACCTAGACCGTTCCTGGCACATCTTAAGACTGTGTCCTCTCATCCTGTCGCTGGCAGAACAGAGCGTGTCCCACCCGGCTGTCCCTCCTGTCAGGGAGCTGTAGAGGGATAAGGTCACCCCCGAGCCTCCTTTTCCCCCGGCTGAACACCCCCAGCTCCCTCAGCTGCTCCTCACGGAATTGTGCTCCAGAGCCTTCCCCAGCTCCATTGCTCTTCTGTCCCACTGCCGATAAAATTTGGATGGTTGTGCTGGTTTTGCTTGGGGTAGATTTAATTCTCTTCACATTGGCTGGTAAGGGGCTGTGATTAGTGCTGAACACAGAATTGATAATACAGAAATGTTTCTGTTATTCATGTGTTGAAGACAGAATATGCCTTTCCTCAGTTGGGGTTACCTGTCCCAGCTGTGTCTCCTCCCACACACTCCCAGCCCCCTTGCCAGCATGAAAAGCAGAAAAGGCCTTAGGTCTCTGTAATCCCTGCTCAGCAATAACAAAAAACATTTCTGTATTATCAACCCTGTGTTCAGCACTAATCCAATACACAGCCAATGTGAAGAGAATTAACTCTACCCCAGCCAAAACCAGCACAATGGGGCTAGTGTATGGACAGGGTTCTGTGCCTTTCTAACCTCTTTATATTAAAAAAAAAAAAAAATCAAACACCCTTTTCTCAGTATTTTTAGACTCTTTGATCTCTGCATCCCCCGTGGCAGCTCCCAGCTCTCTTGAGTGAGTTGGATAGTGCAAGATTTTTCTGCTCACATCTGCGACAAGGGAGGGTCTTGTGTACATCCCAGGTGACTGATTTGTAACTCAGTGGGAGATGAGTATCAGAAATAAGGAGTGCTACATTTCTGACAGAAAATGGGATTGGAACAGACTGCCCAGGGAGGTGGTGGAGTCACCATCGCTGGGGTTGTTCAAGAAACATAGTTTCTTGAAAAAAGCTAATATTGATTTTAGAATATGAATACCACCGTGTTGGTCCTAGAAAGCATTAGCAGAAGAATTTTAATGCAAAAGGTGAATCACCTGAAGAATATGGTAGCAAACAGTTCATCGGGAACAGTACTGTGGAAAGACAGACAAGGTATGCACCCTTGTGAGATTTTCTTTGTGATGATAATTTTTGTTGTTCCCTCCTAAAATTCCTACATTTCTTTACTGCAGATTTTTTACAGACCTAATAGAAGCAGCTCTAGCAGAAAGAAGTTTAACCACTTCATTGCAGAACTGGGCAATGCTCCTTAACAGGCAAATTAATGGAACAGCAGAAATACCATGAACAAATGATACATGATGAGCTCCAGTACCCACAGAAAATACTGGTATTTTATTATGGATTTGGTTGTAAAGATTTTAGCATGGAAGAGTTAAACCTAAAATGTACCTAAGTCACCAATCAGTGAAGAACACCAATTGTCCTTCTTCTCCATTGCACTATGCTTAACACAATTAGTTACATTTGCAAAATATAAGCAGCCAGAGTGTGGCAAATGTTTATGGAAAACTGATTTTGCATCATTTTGTGGAGGGTTTTTCAGGATGTGGATTGATGGTGTAGTTTGCAAAGTAGTTGCACTTCTTGATGCATTTTATTAATAATTCTCAAGGAGTTTGAGAAAGAAAATGCTCAAAGCTCAAAATTAGAGATGAGCCCACAAGAGCAGTGATGACATCAAGGTGAATAATGGCACCTGCTCTGGTTAGTTCACAACCAAAGCTAAGTCCCATGCCATGGGTAGGATCAACTGTTCCTCAATTTTTGTAGGGGGCGGACATAAGAATATTTCAAATATACTTTCTTTTTAAGTTTGGTACACGAACAGTAAAGAAAATTCCTTTTTTTCTGGACATAAAATCTTGTAAATGTTACAAATACATATTTTTGTCATCAATTTATATGTAGTAGCTATACAGCAATTATTAATACAATTATATAACACAGATATAAATATCTGAAGAACAGATGGTTCTTTCAAAAAAATTTTATTCCAAATAATTTTATTAATATCTTCAGTGCTTTTTTTTGTTAATGTGAAAGTTAATCTTTAAAACTATTGCTATGACTGATTAAAATAAATGGGAAAACCTTTGTAGAGACGAATAAAAATACATTTTCTTTCATGTAGGTGTATTCTTCTCTTATGCTGGAGGAGGTTGTCCCTGCAAACTTTCCCTGGGACAAGGATAATATATGCCATAATGGACTATTCACAGTCCAAAACAGTCAGGCTTTAAAAGAAGCTGAAGTTTCTGCTCCTGCGACCATAGAATAAAGAGCATTATTGGCACGATTGACTCCTGGCTGTTTCTAATATAAAAACCTCTAGAAATTGCAGTTAGATTTTGCATGCCAGTAATTTTCTCTCTCCTTGGTAATTGGCTTTTCTAAACACTTGTGAAAGACACATTTCCTTCAGAAATCTGCAGCTCAGAGAAGCTTGAAAATGTCTCTACGGTTCATAAACTATGTCATCACAGGCAGAAATACAACTTAAGAAACTTGATCTCTAATCCTCTGCCTTAGCCATTATGGTCTGAGCTTTCATAATGTTGTATTAGCTTGCTTGTTTACAGTTTATTTTTTGGTCATGAAAATAAGATCAATTCTTTACTACTAATACAATTACAGTTCTTTGCCATAGCTTTATAATTGTAGGGGAAAAAATGATTTGTTGCACATTAATGTTAAAATGCGAGTGTGTAACATCTCTCAACAAATACCAATGAAGTTACCTACTCACACTGATCACTGGAAAACATTATAATTCTGAAAGGCTGGTTTAATTTGATGTTCTCCTTCATGATAAATTTTCTTGTATATTAAAACAAACAAACAAACAACCCCAACACCCCCCACGTTTTTTCATGCACCTTTTCTCATTAAAACAAATTATTTTTT